CAAATGTCAGTTTTATACACTACAGCTATTATAGTGTAATTTTTCATTTTAGAGAAACAATCAGATAACAATTTCCTCCAAATGACTAAGATCCATGGAATTAAAACACTCATCCGTTAACATGTGGCCCACTAATTTTGCACCTTGCCCTTAAATATATAATCTTAATTTTTTCCTGATCTCTTAGTCACAAATATTTAAAAAGTTTTCATTTCCAAGCAAATGCTCAACTAGAAGCATTCTTAACAGAGCACACGAAACACCCAATGAAAAACAGGAAGCAGCACAAATAGAAGCTACAGGAATTTTACCTTAATTTTTCTCTCGGTGTCATCTAATTTTAACTCTGCTGAAACTAGTTTCTTTGCCAAATCGTCTCGTTCAGGTAGGTGTCTAGCTTCGGAGATTTTTTTCAGTTTCTGTAAAGAAAATTTTGTCCGGAGTAGTTCACCTTCTGTATCTTTCACCCTCTTCTCAGTTGCCCGTTCTTTCTCTTGAGATTTTCTTAAGCGTTCTTTGAGGGCTGTGATCTCATTGTTATGATGAGCAATGAGTCGTGAGATTCCATTTTCTGTATCTTCAAACTTATTCAGGGCCTTTTCCTGTCTGTACTGAAGCCTTTTTAAAGCCTTATTTTCTTTTAGCAGCTCAGCTAACTTGACCTGGAGTTCAGTTACTTCATTCTGCAATTCACTGATTTTTAGAAGTCTTGCAGAAAGAACTCGTTTTGTAACAAGATCGGTCTCTTTCCGAAGTGGTTCCCTGTTGAGACTCCGGGAGCGAAATCCCACTCGGGCTCCCTTTCTGTTTGGAGGACCCTTAGGGCTTGGTTTCCTAGGGGCTAAAAAAGAAACGGTAGTAATGAAAACTGAAAACTGTACCAATGTAGTATCACTGTTTATTCTAACACAAATGAATCTGTAACATTCTTTAGTCATTCTGTTCCTTTAAAAGTGATTTTACAATATTTAGTCTTAACAGGTTTTATTTGGCACTCTTAATATAAAGTTTTTATTAAGAAAGGCCTGGAGTCTTTTAAGAAAGGTCTGATCCTTCAAAATCCTTCTGATCCTTCAAAATGATATTCTGATAGTTACAGGGAATTACTTTAAAAGATGGCAGAATTAGGCTTTACCATCTTAAACTTTATAGGTAAGATGTCAAGCTGGGGCATTGTCAGTATTAGCATGGTACCTAATAAATCTGCCCCTCTGTGGCATTCAAGTCTTTGTGTTAAGGTGTCTGGCATCATTATTTAAAATGTGGACAGGGATGTTTTCTCTAAATTAACTAGAACTCCTTTTATTTAGGGAAACAGGCTGATAGCATGTTGTCCAACAGGAAGATTTGGGTTTGGGACTCAGATTTAGCACCTACCTCCTTGGGCAAATCAACCAACCCTTTCCAGGTCTATTTCTCCACCCACAGAATGAGGGCACTACCTGTGTAACCAGACTGTTGTGCAGATTAAATGAAGTATGCATGTAACAAGTTTTCCACAAATATTCCCTGTCAGTAATACAAGCTTAATTCCATTGAAAATGGAAACACGTTGGCAGCAGAGATGCGATTCTGAATGCTTTCTCAGGGACTTTCTTTTGTGTGATCTTCAAATTGAAGACATCTAACATAATCCAAGAAAAAAGATTAAAAAAACTACATCCTAAAAAATATATGCCCCTATGAAATCTAAAGTATACAATATTAAAACACAGTATTTCACAAAAAACTTAGAGTGCTATTATTTTTACTAAAAATTCATTAAACTTTTAGGCCTCAATACACTGAGCACCTGCTCTTAAAAGAGGTCTGCCACCGTTGAAAATAATGAATTTTAATTTGTAAGGTGACTGCATTTTTCAAAAAGGAAATGCATTCCAGAGAAAACAAAAACCCCAGAGAACTAGGAAATCCAACCTTTTCCTACCCATCTTGCCAGCCATGGACACTCCAGTTCCACTACGTAAACAGATAAAGAGTAACAAGTAATGTTTACAGTTTAACATCATAAAGTTTCACTGAAAGATTTTACAGAAGGTGTTATGAATGTACCCTGATTTGGGATTCCATCTCTATAAGTCCTTCAATACATAGAAGGAAACGGCAATAAAAAAAAAATGAGGGAAAAGCTACTTGCAGCTTTGAAACTATGCTATCCACCTGTCACTAGCCACACCCTGCTACTGAAAAATCTGAAATGTGGGCAGTCCAAAGGGGGATGTGCCATAACTGTGAAATAACACACTGGACTTCAAACACTTTGTTCAAAAAAAAAAGAATGCAGAATATTTCATATATAATGTTTTGTATTAACTATATTTAGAATGATAATATCTTGGATATGGTGGGTTAAACAAAACATATTACTAAAATTAACTTCACCTGTTTTTTAATGTGGTTGTTAGATAACATAAACTTAAACACGTTGCTTGCATTTGTGAGTTGCATTATATTGTCATTGGACAGCACTCCAATTTAACACTGGAGCATCCATCATTTCAATTTTCTTTCTCAACATGCTGAATTAATGGAGTTTTGGTATCTATATGCTTTTATGGAATATGTACTCAACTGTTGGAATGTCAGAAACTTAGACACAAAATTGATTATACATAAAGATGAATGTGAATCATTCGAAATATGATTTTTATGTTAAAGTTATAATGCTTAACAAAATTTCATACAAATAGAAACTTGTTTTATTGAAAAGTTAAAGCTTATGTAAGAATCAGGATAAAAATTTTCCACTAATATTTTACTAAACTACTTAGAAAGAGCTTCCACAATCAACTTTTTCACATCCTAAAAATTCAAACATTTATTTTTAGCATATTAGCATGACAAAACTGATCATGAAAAGTATTTTCAATGTGAGCTCAAAAAAATTTCCCACTTTCATCAACTTGCAGATTTTCATTTAAAAAACTACTAAGATGAAATATGGTCTAGTAGGAATGAGAAGATGATTGACTATTGTGAGCATCATTCTTCATCTCCCCCTTGTTAAGTCACCAACAAGAGTAGGAAAACATCGCTTTTTCCTCCTGCAGGTGTTAAAAATAAATACACCATTTAAAAAACATGTAGTAAAGATGAACTACACATGTGCCAAAACTCAAGATGTTTATATTGCTGATAAAGCGAGAAATAGAACATGTAATATATAAACATGTGTAACCCAAACTTATTAAATTGTATTACTATACATATAACTTCTGATAAAGCACCAGTTTAATTTTCGAAAATAAAATATACTGAAAATTAAAAGGGAAAAAGGAAGCATATGCTATCAAACACCAAATCCATATATTCAAGTGTTCGAAATGCTGTTTTAATCACATTTATTCTTCCCTTAGTTTATTCTATGCTTAGAATTGCAACTTAAAGAGAAATTAACTTAGTGTTTAAGGAAAGGTATTGGTTTGGTCATGTTTGATCAAAGGTAGACAAACTGTCACAAATTTTAATTCAGAAGACAATGCAAAGCAGAAGATAGTACAAGTCAGACTGAAGACAGTAACTGAAATTTTTCTGGGTGATATTTGAACCATTTTTCATATCTTTTTCTCAAAATCCTCTCAAATAAGATTAAGGGTCAAGCTGTGACTCCTTAATTGGGCAGCCTCCTAAAATGCTTCTGGGGAAGGAGTGAAAAATTTAAATATTCCTACCAATAATTCCCAGGCATGTAAATTATTTCTTGGGACTAAATAAGCATTTTCTTAAACCCTAAGGTCTATTTGTTCTTAATTATATAGCAAAACTTTAACATCAGATCATGCCCTCCACCACTTAAGTCAAAACAAGAGACCCACACAGAGGCAGATTTGGAGGAAGAATCCAAAAAAAAAACCTTCAGTGTTGTCCTTGCAAAAAAAAAAGAGAGAGAGAAAGAAAAAGCACTCAATTGTTAAAAGTGCAGGCATCCACAGGAAACTTGATCAGAGGTCTGCGCAAGGCACTTTCAAAAAGAACATATATTTTTTGCAAATATTTTAAAAGCAAGTATTACTCTTCAGAGTAAAATGTTATAATGGCAAATTTAATTATACCTTTTCATCTGTTCAATGGCTAACAAGTTCCCCACAGAAACAGACAATATATTATTAGGATTCAAGGTGTTTCACGACCTCGCCCATTTTCCATTTCAGCTCCCAGTTTCACCATTTCCTGCCTTGCAATCTAAACGCTCACCATTCTAAGCTACTGCTGTTATTAACTGCTGCATTTATTAACGCATCCCATAATTACCCCCTTTAACTTAGTAGCTTATTTTTCTATGGGGTACTTACAGTCCTTACATATTTGTTAATAAGTACATCAGGGTTTTCTTGATCAGAAATTTATTAAGATGAAGATTTCTAGAACATTACCTAGTCAAATATATATTTGTACCTGGTTCCAGACTAGGAACATTTTAATAAGAAAAATTATTTCTCATTATTAATCTTGTTTCCATTATAAAACGTTTACTAGAAACGGACTGGTGGTCCTAAGTACCAAATTCCATTTCTAGGTCTAATTCAAACTTCTGCAGTAAACATTGTGTCATGTTGTGGAAGTAATTTTAATCTATAATAAAGCACCCTAACCACTTATATCAATGCCTTTCACTACTTTTAAAAAGTGAAGATAAAGAAAGGTACAAATGTTTGTTTATTTATGCCTTTATAATACCTCACAAACTCCAAGACAAGCATTTATTTAGGAAGAGAAAATAAAAGAAGGCCTTAGTTATGGCTCTTTTCTCTTTTGAGTATGACTTTGTATATAATCAAGTACCACAATTAACTATGATGTAAACTGACAAAAATATATCATATTTAAAATGTCATTGGGCCCATTTCCATACACATATCAATATATACACTTATATATAACAGGAGCTTCATTCATACAAGCTTTCCTTAAACACTCAAAATCACATTCTAGGTCTACTGGACTCTTTTAAAGAATGCTTACCTTGGTGATATACTTGGCTATCTGAAACTTGTCTTTTAGGATTTTTTTGCTTAATACTTGTAGGTGAAGAAGGATTGACCAGCGATGACCGGCCAGAAGACTGTGGTGTAGTTCCAAAATCAGATGATGTATAAGAGTAATGGTGTTTGCCTGCCTTACTTCCTTGATCAGTATCTGGACTTCTTTCTCTTTCCCCCATGGCTTTGAAAATTGTCTCTATTCACATAATTTAATTGATTCTTTTATCCCAGAAAAATCCATGACAAGACTGAAGAACAATTTTTAGAGTCTTGAGATGCTGGTGATAATACTCATGTCTGTGCAATCTGTTTCTCTATGTATCTGTAGTCCACAATTCACATTAGCAACCCGAAGATACACTTTTTCCCCCTACAATTAAGGAGGATGGAAACTCATCATATGTCATGAAATAGGTCTCTACAGTTAATTGCACTGAAAAATAAAAATAAAGCAATATATGGCTTACAATTTTAAAGACACTGCAATTTAATTCACCTACATTTTCACACATGGTTACCTAACAGTATTTGGAGGAAAGACAGTCATGGCTGCGAGAGAGAGCATGACATAATTTCTTCCTAATAAATGTTCACTTGACTTCCTTAAATCTTAAGATTTGTAACAAACACAAATGCTGTTTTTTGGCAGGTAAATAAGATCAAACTGCCAGTTCTTTCTTTTGTTGTAAGGACGGAGTGGCAAAGAAGGAGCCTGTTAATATAAACGAGGATATGTCGAAGATTGGCTGCATCAAAATGCGACTAAAGTAAACAAGATGCAGAAAGGTGAGAGTACTCGCAATGACAGCAAAACAGCCACCACCCTTACCATGTCAAGTGCCTTCCTCCCACCCCAAGGAGAACAAGAGGCTACCAGTTAGATAGGCAAACGTGTTCAGATCCACAGTGGGCAATACAAATGGTCAGCACATAACAATATTCAACCTCAGGTACCATTTTTAAACCCATCAGATTATCAAAACATTCTTCAAAACAACACTTAAGGCTGCCAGAATGGCTATCAAGAAGAAATCCATATAATTTTTGGAAAAAAGTTGGCAAGATGTACTGAATCTTTAATTACGCTTTTAATCTTTGATCCAATAATCCCATTTCTGGATGCCAAGAAAATCACCCTAAAACAGGGGAAAATGTGGGCATAAATGTTCAATGAGGAACTAAAAAAAGCACCAAGCAATATCTAACTACTATGGAATAATTAAGTATAAAAATCAGTACAGCATACTATGTAGCTGGTAGAAATGCTTACAGAAACTTTAACAAGGAAAATGCTTCTATTATGGTAAAGAAAAAATTCAAACTGGTGTATACAGTATGATCTCAATTACACAGTCATTGAAAAATACTGAAAATGCTTAGTATTCTTACCCCAACTCAGGAACTGAAAGAAGTTAATGAAGTATGGGATATTACACAAATACCATCGGTCTGGGCAACATGAATTTTAGATTATTTTATCTCGCAATATATGTTTATTTTCTATTAAAATGAAATTGGATGCTTTATTAGAGTAATGGTGTTAATATTTCGAATAGACCAAAGTCCCACTGATGAAATCTGAGTTGAAACCCAGTGGTTGCGACATGAGGGAAGTCACACCTGACTCCACAGCTGGGGCCCCGCGTCCAGCACCAGTCGCCACCACCAAGTGGAGCTGCAAGGCACAAGGGGGCTGGGACTGCCGCTCACCTGCTGCAGTCCAATGGACCTACAGGCTACACAAACATGAGGATAGAGGAAAGCATGTACAGTATGCTACCATTTAAAAAGGATTATAAATTTATATACATTGAAAATAGCAAATAATGGGGAAAAAAGGCTCTCCAGCGCAAGGTGGTCCTGCAGAACTTTCAGCAAGAATAGAACATCCTACCAACAGCATTCTTCAACGAACTAGAGCAAACAGTTCTAAAATTCATATGAAACCACAAAAGACCCCAAATAGCCAAAGCAATCCTGAGAAGGAAAAATAAAGCAGGGGGGATGATTATGCTCCCTGACTTTAAGCTCTACTACAAAGCCACAGTAATCAAGACAATTTGATACTGGCACAAGAACAGACCCATAGACCAATGGAACAGAATAGAGAGCCCAGATATAAACCCAAGCATATATGATCAATTAATATATGATAAAGAAGCCATAGATATACAATGGGGAAATGCAAATCAAAACCACAATGGGGAAATGCCAGTCTATTTAACAACTGGTGTTGGTAAAACTGGACAGCACATGAAAGAGAATGAAACTGGATTATTGTCTAACCCCATACCCAAAAGTAAACTCAAAATGGATCAAAGACCTGAATGTAAGTTAAGGAACCATAAAACTCTTAGAAGAAAACATACACAAAATTATTTTGAATATAAACATGAGCAATGTTTTCCTGAATGCATCTCCTTGGGCAAGGGAAACAAAATAAAAAATGGACAAATGGGAGTACATCAAGCTAAAAAGCTTTTGTACAGCAAAGAACACCATCAGCAGAACAAAAAGGCATCCTACAGTATGGGAGAATATATTTATAAATGACATATCTGACAAGGGGTTAACATCCAAAATATATAAAGACCTCATATGCCTCAATAACCAAAAAGCAAATAACCCTATTAAAAAATGGGCAGAAGATATGAACAGACACTTCCCCAAAGAGGAAATTCAGATAGCCAACAGGCACATGAAAAGATGTTCCACATTGCTAATTATCAGGGAAATGCAAATCAAAACCACAATGAGGTATCACCTCACACCAGTTAGGATGGCCAACATAGAAAAGACTAGGAACAACAAATGCTGGAAAGGATGGGGAGAAATGGGGACCCTCCTACACTGCTGGTGGGAATGTAAACTAGTTCAACCATTGTGGAAAGCAATATAGCGGTTCCTCAAAAAACTAAAAGTAGAAAAACCATTTGACCCAGGAATTCCACTCCTAGGAATTTACCCAAAGAAAACAATTTCTCAGATTCAAAAAAGACATATGCACCCCTATGTCTATCGCAGCACTATTTACAATAGCCAAGAAATAGAAGCAACCTAAGTGTCCATCAGTAGATGAATGGATAAAGAAGATGTGGTACATACACACAATGGAATATTATTCAGCCATAAGAAGAAAACAAATCCTACCATTTGCTAGAGGGTATTATGCTCAGTGAAATAAGCCAGGTGGAGAAAGACAAGTATCAAATGATTTCACTCATCTGTGGAGTATAAGAACAAAGCAAAAACTGAAGGAACAAAACAGCAGCAGATTCACAGAACCCAAGAATGGACTAACAGTTACCAAAGGGAAAGGGACTGGGGAGGGTGGGTGGGAAGGGAGGGATAAGAGGGAATATGGGGCATTATGATTAGCACACACAACACTGGGGGGAGCATGGGGAAGGCACTATAGCACAGAGAAGACAAGTAGTGACTCTATAGCATCTTACTAAGCTGATGACAGTGACTGTAATGGGGCACATGGTGGGGACTTGATAATGGGGGGACTCTAGTAACCACAATGTTGCTCATGTGATTTTATATTAATGATACCAAAAAAAAAGACATATGCACCCCTATGTTTATTGCAGCACTAATTTACAATAAGCAAGATACAGAAGCAACCTAAGTGTCCATCAGTAGATGAATGAATAAAGATGTGGTACATATACACAATGGAATACTATTTGGCCATAAGAAACAAACAAATCCTACTATTTGCAACAGCATGGATGGAGCTAGAGGGTATTATGCTCAGTGAAATAAGTTAGGCAGAGAAAGACAAATGCCAAATTATTTCCTCATTTGTGAGTGTGACAACGAAGCAAAACTGAAGGAACAAAATAGCAGCAGACTCACAGACTCCAAGAAGGTACTAGTGGTTACCAAAGGGAAGGGGTGGGGGAGGGTGGGTGGTGAGGGAGTAAGAATGGGATTGTGGGGTATCATGATTGCTGCACATGGTGTGTGTGGGGTCACAGGAAAAACAGTGTATCTCAGAGAAGACAAATAGGGACTCTATAGCATCTTACTACACTGATGGACAGTGACTGCAATGGGGTATGGGGGGGACTCGATAATAAGGGTGAATCTAATAACCACATTGTTTTTCTTGTGAAACCTTCATAAAGTGTATATCAATGATACCTTTAAAAAAAAGAAATACAGAAATCAGAAAAAATTAAAGATAAAAAGAATCTTAAAGCAGCAAGAGAAAAGCAAAAGTTACATATGAAAAAGGAGATGTTACAACTGGCACCACAGAAATTCAAAGAATGTTTTTAGAATTCTACAAAAAAGATAATGCCAATAAATCAGACAACCGGGAAGAAATGGATAAATTCCTAGAAACATACAATCTTTCAAGGCTGACTAGAAAATCTGCCCAGATTTTGATTACTAGCAACGAAACTGAATTGGTAATCAAAAAACTCCAAACAAAAGTCTAGCTTCACAGGTGAATTCTACCAAACATCAGAGCTTAAAGTATTACACAGAACACAGTCAATAATATTGTAACAACTCCACATGGTGACAGATGGCAACCACACTTCTCTTAGCGAGCATTTTGTAATGCACACACACTGTTGTTCAATCACTATGTTGTTCATCTAAAACTAGTAATAATACTATGTCAACTTATTTCAACTAAAAATTTTTAAAGAGTTTCTTAGTTTTAAGAAAAAAACATATAAAACCAATGAACTACTAATTTCCTGTCCTCTCAGAGTTCAGCTACTTGTGTATAAAACATTGCTGCCTGGTTACCTCTGCGGCCAGCAGAGCTCACACAACAGGGAACTAAATGAGTAAGATAAAAATAAACTAAGAAAGAAAGGTTATAAATAAAGACATCTCTCTCTCTAAGAAAGAAAATAACTGAAGATGAGATAAAGGTAAAAATAATATTGCTGCAACTGCCTCTCTTTCTCGGAGAAAAAATGATTAGAAACAGAACCAAGTCGCTTTTCTACTCCTCTACTTGTATGTCCTAGGATATTCACAAGCATTTCCTTATCCTACATTTATTTGCACAACACCTACTCTTGCTTAAAAATCAAATTGCCTTTAGTTTCCTAAATTCTAGATTACAGTAAATGCATAAATGCTAAATTTAAAATTTAAGGCATTATCAGCTTCTTTTAAACAGCATTTTGAAACAATAGGTCAAATTAAAGCATCTTAACTATGTTATGTATTTCCAAAGTTTAGTCTGTCAAATGAAAGTATCATAGAATTTCCATCCATCCATCCATCCATTCATTCATTTGTAAGACATTTGCTGAAATCTACTAAGTGTCAGGACCAAACTATGGACACAGCTAGATATGAAAATAAGTAAGACACAACTGATCCACTACCATTAAGAAACTTCACTTTGGAGCAGAAGCGAAGAAGTGAAGGATAATGCAAGAGTAGAAGTAATATGATGAAGGCAAAGTAAACTGAAAACTAAGAGTAGAAGAGCTGATGGACAGTGACTGTAATGGGGAATGTGGTGGGGACTTGATAATAGGGGGAGTGTAGTAACCATAATATTGCTCATGTAATCGTACATAAAAATACCAAAAAAAAACCCTAAGAGTAGAAGACAGAAGGCAGTTTGGCAAGGTTCCCAGAGGAGATGCCTAAAGTGAATCTTTAGGTAGTAGCAGAGGTTAAGCAAAGTATGTGTATTTGTGTTGGGGGTAGGGGTCATGATTGTAGATGAGGTTAGTAAAAGAAGGCAGTTGGTGAGGGAAGACAGTATTTCACCGTGAGGAAGCGGCATATAAAGCAGGAGAACATAAAAGGCAGGAGATCGCTGTGGCTTGTCGTCAGACTGCGAACTGCTTACAGCTATCTATCCAATACAGTGGCTTCTGAGTACTTGAAATGCACCTCATAAGAACCAAGAAAGGCTGAAAGTGTAAAATACAGACAGGATTTTGAAAACTTAACACATTAAAAAGAACATAAAATACATCTTTAATAACCTTTTTAATATTCATTATATGTTGAAATAGTATTCTGGATCTGCATTAAATAAAATATACTATTAAAATTAGTTTCACCTGTTTGTATTTTTTGTGTGGCCACTGCAAAAAACAAATTTTGTGTATGCTTCGCGTTATACTTCTATTGGACGGCGCTGGTTTGGAATGACTGCACTGAGTGAGGGGCAGTGATAAGGCAGCTAGTGAAGCAGGATAAGGAGGGACCATTACATGGGGATCTTTATGTCAGATTGACAAGTTGGCTGGAAACAAACAGAGGACCTTCAGCAGGATTAAAATAATCAGATATAACAAAGATCCATCTCTAACCTAGGAATTGGAGGGAAACCCAAGGCTGAAGGGGAAAAAAGCTGGTCCTGCAATCGTGGCAAATGATAGTGGCTTGAACTAAGGTAGGCTAACTAGAGATACAGCGTGCAGAATTCATTGAGAAATGTTTATCAAGGAAAATAGGCTGGACTTTGCAAGTGATATGTGGAATATGGGAGGAACCTAAATGAATTCCAACATTTTGGACTTGTAAAACTGGGTTAATGTGGTACCATTCAATAGCACAGGCTGTGTTGGGGAAAAGTGATGGGGTTCCTATCAGGCATACTAAGTTTAGTATGTCTGTGGGATATCTTTGTGGAAATACCAAAAATTAGCTATATAAATTTAGCTAATTCAAGAGTTCCAAAATAGAGATAAAAACATTGAGAGTACATTATAGTCATGGTGGAAGCCAAGACTAGCAAAAGCTGGAGGATGAACTTAGCCAAGAACACAGAGTGAAGAGCAAGCTGAGACTGAATTATGAAGAAACACAGTAATTAAGTGGTGGGCAGAGGAGGGTCCCACAAAGAAGATGAAGACTTACAGCCAGGAGAAGAACCAGGTGGAGTGCAGCATTTCATCCTAATGGACTTACACCATGTCCTATATAGAATTACAGTCCCGTGAGTGTTTAAGGGGAGAGAGATGACTGACGAAGAAAAATTCCTTGTCCAAAGTCACCAATCACTTTTTGATATTTGAAATGACACTGTCAGCTTAGACAATCTAAACAAACAATTGTTCCCTATTATGTGTTTGAATAAACATACAAATCAATGAGACAAAATCCTAAAGTGAACTATTCATAAGAGTATATGAAATTCAAATGTGAAACTACACCTGGAAAAAATACTGATTAAAATAACCATACAAAAGAGGAGAGAAAGAATATCCAGAACTACACCCTTTCTTCAGTTTTGCTGTTTTCCAAACTGTATGTAGCCCCACCACACACACAAAAATTAAATGATGCCTTTTATTAAATGATGACAGAAGAAATATCCAATGCAAGTTCTTAAGCTGAAGGTAAAGGACCAGCATAAACATGTGTGTCCAAGTATACTTTCCAGTATGTGTGTCCAGGACAGAAGATCAAGAAAGTCTCCCATCAGTGCAGCCCATCCAAATTCCAGTAACAAATGCACTTTAACAGAACTGTACAATTTTTTCCATTTACCTAAGCAGAGGTACAAACATCTCAATAAAATGAATCCTCACAACATCCAGTATTCCCATTCCCCAACGGAAAAAAAACGACGCTAGTCGTCTGTCACGCGTTGATGTAAGTACTGCGCCCCGTCGGCATCACCACGCGCAGTTGGGGTTCAAACCCCGGCGCACCGCCTGGGCCCCTGCTCAGCCTCCCGGCCGCCCGCCCACGCGAGCCCCGGCGCCCGCGCCACCCCTCGGCGCGACACGGTTTTCGCCCGCCCTCCTTCCTCCGCTCATCCTGCTCCTGAAGGTTGTGTGAGAAGTTCACGGCCTGGACAGGTAAAGCTTCCCGACATTCCTACTTACTCCACCGGCCTCGAGGCCCAGCCCCCGCGGCGGCCCTGCTCTGCTTCCCCGCCTTCAGTCTCACGGCCCCGCGGGCTCCGGACCGCTCCGGCCTTCCCCTCCCTTAGCCCCCTGGGGGCGCTGCCTTGTCGCCCCAACCCCAACGGGACCGGCCGCTCCCGAGCCGTCAGATCCCGTCGCCCACCTGTCGGCCCACCTCCCCGGCCCCGGTACCAGCAGCTACTCGGCCCTGGGTTTATTTTTCCAGGATTGTCGTCTTCTCACGTCCCCGAGCCCCTTGGCTAATCCCCGCATCCCGTGCGCCCCTCGGCCCCCCAAGCGCCTCGCTGACCCCACGCCCGCCCCGGAGCCCAGCGCTAAGCCGTCCCGGCGCCTCTCAGGGCCCACACGGCGGCCGCCTCCTTGCCTTCCCTCCGCGGACCAAACGACCCCAGGGCTCGGCGTCCAGCCCCCAGAGGAGCAGAGGCTGCGGGACGCGCGGAGGCTCGAGGTGCGGAAGTTGGGCGCGGGGCGGGGGTGGGGCGGCGACGGGCGGGCGGCGACCTGGGCTCCAAGGTAACCGGGTAACGGAGTCGGAGGCCCTGCCTGCGCAGCTCAACGACGCGACAGAGGATCCCAGCCCCGGCCTCTCATTGGTCTCTGTCGCCAGATGGCCCTTTCTATTGGCGTCAGTAAAACCGGAAGGCGGGACGATGAGTGCGGGGGAAAGCAGCCATTGGCTAGCCGCTCGAGCGGCGCCCAGGGACCGGAGGCTCAAACCTGCGGACGCCGCAGAGCAGCTCGCTGGCCTCCTTGACGCGGAGAGGTAGTGATGCGTCGCTCAGTACCCACAGCGGTGGGTCAGTAGAGCCTCGGGAACCTCTCTGGGTTGAGGTGAAGAAATGAACGTCGCTTCCCAGAGCCACACGAAGGTCACCGGCGCTCAGGACAGCCGGGGGGACAGCGGGGTGGACAGCCAGGACCGCAGGAGACAGCGGAGGGACAGCCAGGGCGACGGCTGGGGGCTGCCAGGGGACAGCCGCGCCGGGACCCATGCCTGGTGTGCGCCCACCCCACGCCTCTGGGAGCAGATGAGGAGGGGAGGGCCCGCCAGGAAACTGAAGTCGTGCGTGGCAGGGCTGCCCCCAGCCTGGGTCTGCCGCTTTTCGGGTTTGGATCTGCCCTGTCAGCATTTCCCCTACGGGTTAATGGGGGCGCTGGAAAGCAAGAATGTGAACAGTCGGGAGGCCCCAAGAAATTGTCTAATTGTATGTAACATATTTTCAGTGCAGCTTTATTCACTCTATCACATTTGAAATAATAATGACTACCAATCTATTTGACCTTAAAAAAGACCAAAAGAATTGGTAAGCCTCCAGAAGTAAAAGCCAGCTTATTGAACTAATTTTTTAAAATATTAGTCCAAAGTATAATTTCAAAAGTTTTCGTATGATTTTGCATGGTTTTGATATGATCATTTTGATAGGATTAGAATTTTCTAAGATTACACCATTTATCATCTCATGCCACTATATACTACTGAGGATTCTGCTCTTCAGATAAAAGGGAACAGCTAAACTACATTTTTATATTTCTGCCACTTGAAAGCATATTCAACAGGAATCGGGCTTATTTTTAAAGATCATATTTATGAAAAATTATATTAGTGATCATTAAGCACTTTGGAGTTCTATTTTTGATGTTCCTGGGCTTACATTGTTTCTGCAGTATCTCCAGATTAGTTGTATTGCGAGCTGAATGTTCATTTTCTTAGGACTTTGACTGCTTTGTTTAATGCTATGTGGTGATGATACAGATAATAGTAATTAAAATCTTCCTAGAAATGCTTCCCAGTAGAATTATTCCCATTTTTCATATGTGGAAACTAGAGTTTGAACAATTGGTTAAAAGTTTCATAAAATTAAGGGGTAGACTCTCCAAGTGTAGTCAATCCAGAAAGCACAATGACTGTAATTTAAAAGGAGCATACTGTAAGGAATCATATCCTGGAAAACACATGAGTATAATTATCTTTAGCTGAAGTTCAGTTGTCTATTTAAAGCTAATCTAAAAAAAAGTACTATCATGATTCTATGTATCTTACCTAGATACGTGTGGTAACTAACACAAAACTCAAAAATTTTAAATCTAACTTTGTGGTATCTAAATTGCTAGATAAATTTTTTTACTAAATCCCATGTAAATAGTAGGTTGTCCGCATATAATACTAACTTTTTAAAAGTAATATGCTAGGTGTTTCAAACAAATTGAAGGAAAACAAGTTGGGTGTAAAGAACAGTAAAATCGGGTACACAGAAAGTGATCTGCTTTTATAAAAACAAAGTCTCATTGATTGTTGTTATTTGTTAGTGGAGAAAAATGAAACCATGAGATATTTACTAGTATTTTTCTCTTGTCATAATTGGTGAATAAGTCAATATTTTCTCAGTTTCATGGAGTTTATTTGAATTTGGAGGGTTTTTTAGTTTGTTTTGCATAAAAAGAACTAACGCAGAACTTGGGTAAAGCTAGTTTTTAATGCATTTTCAGATTTTGTCACTCCACACTTACATTGGTAAGTAAATTGATCTACAGATCAAATGCTATCTCCACAGTAGGAGGAGTAGCTCTGAAGGAACCCGTGATTCCATCTGTATTCAGTGGCAGATTTGGAAGGGAGAATTGAATACGATTTTCTTAGTAGACAATTACCTGTTCACAACTGAAAATAATCCATGGGAGAGTCTATTGAGATTAATGACCATATTTTTAATTGACAATAAATATACTTGGTAAAGAAAGAAGTATGTTTACTACTTTGTAGTTCTAGCAGAGTAAAATCACCAGCTATTTCTCCAGTGAAAACAGGAAAATGGCATAGGAGACTTACAGTAAAAATTTCTAACTTAGAAACCTTCATCAATCATTAAATACATATTGAGTGCTCATCAGGTATCTTTGGGGAATACAGAGATGGAAAAGGAAGTCCTTGTCTTCTAGCTGCTCACTGTCTAATGAGCAAGAAAGATAAGTTTGTCTAATTGCAGGAACTGCATAATAGGTTATTATTAAGGTGTCATTAATACACAATTTTATGAAGGTTTCACATGAGCAACACTGTGGTTACTACATTCACCCATATTATTAAGTCCCCCCCAACACCCCATTCCAGTCACTGTCCATTAGCGTAGTAAGATGCTATAGAGTCACTAGTCTTCTCTGTGCTATGCTGCCTTCCCCATGACCCCCTTACATTATATGTTGATCATAATGCCCCTTAATCCCCTTCTCCCTCCCTCCCTCCCCACCCACCCTTTCCACTCCCTTCCCTTTGATAACCACTAGTCCCTTCTGGGAGTCTGGGAGTCTGCTGCCGTTTTGTTCCTTCAATTTTGCTTTGTTGTTATACTCCATAAATGAGGGAGATTAGTTGGTACCTGTCTCTCTGCCTGGCTTATTTCACTGAGTATAATACCGTCTAGCTCCATCCATATTGTTGCAAATGGTAGGATTTGTTTTCTTCTTGTGGCTGAATAATATTCCATTGTGTGTATGTACCACATCTTCTTTATCCATTCATCTACTGATGGACACTTAGGTTGCTTCCATATCTTGACTATTGCAAATCGTGTGGTGATAAACATAGGGGTGCATATATCTTTTCAAATCAGGGACTTTGTTTCCTTTGGGTAAATTCCTAGAAGTGGAATTACTAGGTTGTATGGTATTTCTATTTTTAGTTTTTTGAGGAACCTCCACACTGATTTCCACAGTGGTTGTACCAATTTACCTTCCCACCAACAATGTAGGAGAGTTCCTATTTCTCTACATACTCACCAGCATTTGTTGTTTCTTGTCTTTTGGATGGTGGCCTAACTGGTGTGAGGTGATACCTCATTGTGGTTTTAATTTGCATTTCCCTGATAATGAGTGATGTGGAGTATCTTTTCATGTGCCTATTGGCCATTTGTATTTCTTCTTGGGAGAAATGTCTGTTCAGGTCCTCCACCTATTTTTTAATCAGGTTATTTTTGGGTGTTGAGGCTTGTGAGCTCTTTATATAATTTGGGTATTAACCCCTTAGCAGATGAGTCATTTACAAATATATTTTCCCACACTGTATGTGAACTTTGCTTCAATTTTTAAAAATGGCTTAGTTGAAAAAATATATATTGACATACAAAGTAGAAAAATCTAGAAGCAGACCTGGCTCCAGATATGGCTGTATCCATGTGTTCAATGTCATTAAAATGTTGTCTCCCTCTTACATGTACTTTCCTGTGTTGGTTTTATGCCAGGCTGGCTTGAGCACGGAGGCTCCAAACTTGCATGCCCCAACTGGCAGCCCCCCTGGAGCAACTGTGCCTCCTTTCTGGCCGGTTCCACAGAGGTCCTGGCATTGACTTTGATGTTTGTACCTGAACATGAACTGAGTGCTGTGGCCGAGCAGTTTGAGGTGTGGGTGACGGAAAAGGTTTGATAGGTGACCTGAACTTTCATCTTCTCCCAGAAGAGCTGAGTGGTTCTCCAAAGGAAGACGGATGCTGGTTCTAGAAGAAGGAATTCTGGACAAGCCAATAGATGTCCCCAGAAGTGATGGTGATGGTTTTATTCAGACAGGCTTGTAGAACAGTCTGGTGCACTTGTTTTTTAGATTCATTTTTTAAAAACATTTTTTAAAAACACATGAAATCAACCAAATTTTGTTGTCTTTTGGCCCCTTCTGTTTTATGGTACCTGTACTCCCCATCAATAGTCTCTGGTGTCAGGGTCCATGAGAGGGTCTCATACTGACAGTCACGCTACCTTCATGGTGATCCTTGCTGTGAAAGGACACAGGCTCACTGCTCTGTTGTACAACAGCCTACCCCCTTCTCTCCAGATCCCATCATTTTCCACATGGGTGCCTCTGATCTGCAGAGCTCCACCACTTATGTCGATGCCAAAGTCGGACTGGAATAGTGCCGGTTTCCTGCTGCTGTTTCTCAGACCTCAGCCCACCTTCCTGAATTCTGCTCCATGCTGCTGGGGCTGGAACTAAGCAAACTGCATTTCCTGATCAGTTCGGCTGCTGTTCTGTCACTGGATGCTGGGTATCATCTGCCAATAGGAGCAATAGGAAAGAGTTGGCAGGGGGGCATTAGGGAGAAAAGTCCCTTCTTAATGTCCCTGTTTCTGCCAGTGTGACTCTAGCAGCAGTTGGCTCTAGCCTAACATGTCTTTTGCTGCTAGTAGACTGACACTTGCGCTTCCTTAAGGGTGTAGATACCAGCCCTTTGGGTCTTTGAGTTCAGTTCCAGTCACTCTACCACCATTCTTTTGTCCACCTGAACACCCAGATTAACTGCCTCTGCAGTTACATGTGTCTGGGTTATCTCAGTGTTCCCTTTGTGATCTAGACCTTTGCATACCTATTAAACACCCTCTGTTCAGCTGAGTGTGGTTTCTGTTCTTCTGACAGAACCCTGTCCCATCTAGTGCTCAAGAGCCAAGTTTTGGTGCTCAAATGACATCCCTTCCCTCTGTGTTACTGTTAGATGGCCCCTAGTAAGTGTTACTTGTGTGATAGACTCACTGTCTGGGTTCCCCCAGAGTTTAATTTTTAAATCGATCCCCAGCTTGACGGCATTAGGAAGGGGAGCCTTGGGAAGGTAATTGGGTCATGAGGGTGGAGGCTTCATGAGTGGCATTAGTGCCCCTGTAAGAGGCCAGAAAGCTTGCTCTCAGCTCTCTGCTCTGCAGGGGCATTTGCACACAGGAATGGGTCTTCACCAGATACCAGATCTGCTGGCACCTTGACCTTGGACTCCACCCTCCAGAACTGCAAAAATAAATGTCTGTTGTTTAAGCGCCAGTGGGCGG